GGTTTGGGCCAGAACCTCTGGACAGCCAGAGGGTGCTTTGTGTCTGAGACGAAGGAGAGAAGAAGCAGCGGAGGAGAAGCACCTCAGAAGGAGTGAAGAGAATGACAAAGGCCAGCCTGGCTTTGCTTTCCATGTTGGCTGGAGGGTCGTCGACATGAAACCAGTCGCCAAGTTAGAATATCTGCACGTTTGGCACGATCCGAGTCTAGGCTGCTCCCCTTCAGGACAGTCTCCCCAGCTCAGCCTTGCTGGATGTTTCCCAGCCTGTCTTTTCCTCCTCTGCTTAGAGGAAAGCGAGGGGAAAAAATAGAGCCAGGACATTTGGAGGTGTACTTCTCCATCCAGTGGACTGCTGGGAAAATCGGTGAAGTGATGAGGTGTGCAGAGTGCTGACGGTGCGCAGCTACTCCGGCAGCTGGGTCACTGGGCCACGCAAAACGTGTACTGCCCTCTCCTCACAGCCCCACTCAGTTGGTACACTGTCTTACCTGGGAAACCCCCAACTCCTATTGCTCGGGACTGTTAACGCTGCCTCTGCCACTGCTCTGGGCACACTGAATTTCCCAAGACTCCTGGTCTTGGAATATCTCTCACTGTGGTCAAGTGCTGTCCAGCGGACTCTGTGATGATGGCAGTGTTCTGTACTTGTGCTGTCCAGTACGGCAGCTGCTGGTCACAGACAACTCTTTAGCACTTGCTGAAGTGTGGCTAGTGTGACTGAGGAGCTGGATGGTGAATTCTATTTAATTTTAATTAATTTAAATTTAAGTGACCAGTGTAGCTAGTGTCTACCAGATTGAACAGACCTAGATGCTAAGCGGTAACTTTCTTTCCTTATACTACTTTCTAATTTTTAATTTTAATGTAATTTTAATCTACCAGAAAAGTTACACAACACAGTGAACTCCCATATACACTTTGTCCAGATTTACCAATTGTTACCATTTTTCCACATTTGCTTTATTATTCTATTTAGTTATCTTATCTATTTTTTCCTAAACCATTTGGGAATAAGTTGCAGACATGATGCCCCTTTGTGCTAAATCTTACTGTATTTTCTAAGGCCAAGAACATTTCCTTAACTTAACTCTAGCCCAGAGATCAAAGTCTGGGAACCAGCACTGATGGAACGCTCATGCCTAACCCCGCGGTTCTCAGTGTGTGATCCCAGAGCGGCGGCAGCAGCAGCAGCGTTCGGGAGCTTTAGTTAGAGATGCAGAATCTCAGCCTCCACCCAGCCATGCTAAATCAGAAATCCAGGGGTGGGGTCTGGCAATCTGTGTTTTGAGTCTGAAGCCCACTGAAGTTTGAGAACCACCCGTCTCATCCACAGTCCACATCAAATTTAGTGCAATTGTTCCAATTATGTTTGGAGCAAGGACATTTCTATAAGAACGTTTTTTTCTCGTGCAGGACCCCATCCAGCACCACTGCGTTATGGTTTAAGTGCCGGTGGTCTCCACGGCTGAGCTGCAACTCAGGGTGTTGCCATGGTGACCAGGGAGCAGCTGTGGGGTTTGCTGGCTCCACCTGCTGAGCGGTGGGTCCGCTTCCTTGATTCTGGAGCAGTGACATGTGCGGTTGCTCCGTTCTTGCTGCTAACAGAGATATTCTCGTCTTCGGACCCAGATTTGCTCTTAACTCACAAAAGCCTGGCGTTACCCTCTCTTCATTGAGCTAAAATAATAACAGTGGAAATGGCAGATGGCCAGACTTGCACCTCATAGGAAAATGCTATCACCATTGATGTAGCTGGGTTTTTTAATCTTCAAGTTTCCTCTTCTGTAATTTGACCTGGAGCCTTGCAAAATTGAAATACACACATAGGAATGCATTCATGAGGCTGCTATATCCACCACCCAACCCTGTGGACACATCACATCAGATTATGTAGAAAGCAAATAACCCAATTCCCACAACTTCTTGTCAAGATCTACCCAAATCTTGGATGGGGAGTAGTTCCCAAACTACCCAAGTGGCAGGAGATTTCAATATTGGCAACTTCAGTTTGCCTCCAGCCAGGGGAAATGGGACTGCCTGCTGTTCCCTGTCCCCCTGCCCCAGTTCCACCTCTCTGTCTGCGCCTGGGCCTTCCCTTTCAGAAGGTCCTCCCTCCTGGCCCCACAGCTTCAGTCCCACCTGTCCTCCCAGGCCCAGCTGAAACACCTCCTCTTCTGCAAGACTCCATAATCCCCTAGCAGGAATCATCCCCACCCACCCCCAGTTCTCATAGCATTTTATCTCCATGACACTCCAGACATTACGCATAGTATAATCCATCTCAGATTCTCAGTGGGTGAAATCGATCTTTTTCTGATTCATTTTTGTGTCACGTCATGAACCCATGTAGTGAGCCACAAAAAAGTACTCAGGAGATGGTCTTTTCTTCTGACGAATTCTTTACCTCTTGCTTCCAGCTACCTCCCACCTTATTTCTGTCGAATGCCGGTGGTAAAAGACAAAATATTGGATCCTTCTATCCATCATGTATGTCAAGGGCACTTTGTTCCCCCCCTATTTTGCTGGTGCACCTGACTATGTACTGCACTAGAGACCTGTGAGATTCTGCCTGCATGTGGATGATGCAGCCCCAGGAACCTGGGCTTTGAGTTAGGAGACACAGTAGAGAAAGGATGAGATCACAGACCTTCAGGAGAGAAGACAATCAGGGCAGAAGGCAGGAGAGGTTGGACTGGTCTGGTTCCTGTGCAGGAATGTCAACTCAGCTGAACAACGTTCCATCAGTGTAATGCTCGTGCTCGGCCCGGCTGCACCCTGGAGTCACCTGCAGGGCTCTCCCACTCCCGAGGTCTGACGCCTCCTCCCGAAAGTGGGATGTAATTGATCTGGGATATGACTCAGGCATCAGGATTTCTGAAAGCTCTCCAAGTGATTCTAAGGGGCAGCCAGGGCTGAGAACCACCCCAGAGAGAAAATGGCTAGTGTGGAAACAGAAAACAGTCTTAAAGGAAACTTACGTCAGTGTTTGCCGAGCACTGAGCCAAGATGGGGTCCAGACCCGAGAACAGGGGGTCTGGCCCCGGAGGTGGGTGTGGGTTTCTACTTAGGCCACCCAGCCCCAGCCGGGTGCTGCTATGCCTGAAAGTCGCCCCACCTGTCTTCTTGGTCCCTGAGTGACCTTCTATCCTGTTTCTCTTCAAGCAGCACACTCTGATTTTAGTGTTTTTCAGTGGCGATTGCCTGGGGCCCTTTTTACTGTGGGGTTCATCTAATGCTGATAATGTATTTCCCTCATTCTTTCTACATCTACTAATTGGGATTCTCCCGTAAGGAAGAGCTGTTCCACTGTTCCTTTTCCTCTATTTATGTATTTATTCCATTATTTATATCAGTACGGACTCATGGATATTTATTTTATTCAATGGGTTATAACCCAATGTTATCATTATAAATTCTGTTTCTCAAAGTGGTCCAGCTTTGGCTATTGGGGCCCCTTCAGCTTGGCTCCTGTGTCCTCTAAACATGCCCCATCTTTTTTCAAGAAGTGGATTCTTACTATTTAGTTACATTTTACTGTAGATGAGGAAACCAGACCCCAGAGAGGTGAAGTGATTTTCTGGCAATCACATGGCTGGAAAGGTGAATTTTATCCAGTGCAGGACCAGGACCAGGACCAGGACCAGGACCAGGGGTTTAGGGGAAGCTGCTCCTGTTGTTTCTTTCACTTGGATTGCTCCTGTGCCTCCCTTAA